AGTTCTGAGGCCTCTGCTGCTGAAAGCAGGTATCTGGTTTGTTTGTGTTCTACAATCGAAACTCTGTATCAACTCCAGCTCTGAGATCCCGGCTCGCTGAAAGCAGGTTTCTGGAGTTTTTTTTAGCTTCTGTATGTTACTATGTTTCAAACTGCCCGATCAGAGGCCTGCAGCGGCAGGCGGGGAACGTTGGAGTCCGCCGTCACTGAAGCAAGCAAGCCTCGTGTTCAGTTTAAACTGCCTGGCTGCCAGTCGTCATCTTGGCTGTCAGTTAATTTGCATATCTTGCTGATTAGCCAATATATATATATATAACTGCTGTAGATTGTAGATGTTCTCCCAATAGACTGCTTTACTGTGAGTTTCTCACAACAGGGGCTGTGTGTTATTCATGTTTGTATGCCCAGAGCCAAACATAGTACTGAACATACACAGTTAGTGCATGAAAAGTGCTGGTTGTGCTACCTAGGTTAAATCCACTCTTCTTTATTCTACACTGCATGTTAACACTGAAGGGAAAGTATTAAATTCTGCAGGAAGTTGGAGAAGGCTATGTTCTGGGAAACAGGGAAGGGAGAGAGGGGATGAGATAAAGGGAAAGCCAAAGAGCAGAACAATAATTCTGTTGAAAACCATTACTCTGTCCTTTATATCTTTCTAGATTTCTGCCTCTTGTCTAATGGGCTAAAATACCCAAGAGTTTAACATATCTAAAAAGCCAACAATATACTTCCCATCCTACATATCTACTGTTAAAAATAATTTTCCCCTATTTCGCTTGACAACTATCATCTACTAAACTGACAGATCTATAGAATTAATAGAAGTAAAATGTAGCCTTGGTCAAGTTTTAAAAAGAAATTCCATCTAAAAACAGCACTTCTGACAAACCAAAAGGCCTCAAATTTCTAAAAGAAGCATCTTTATACATCTAACTTTTTCTTCTGCCAACTCATTTTAGCATTTCTAAAACCACGTCAACATCTTGTATCTCATCCAAATTACCTACACTTTTTAATGGGAACAACATATGTTGTTAAACCTAATGAAATACTCCTTCCTCCTCTGCCTATTAGTCAACAGTAGACAAGGAACCGTATTCCAAAAGCATTCCACACAGCACAGCAACACACTGCCACTTCATTTATTAGCTTCTTTTCTAGAGGTGGACCTGAGAATAAATTATAGTTCTTATTACTTACCCTAAAGCAACAATAATGCCAAATTGCTATTTAAAACTTTACTCTTCCACCCCCTTAAAGGCACAAACTTGAAGTGACTGCAGATGTTACTGTCCTCTTAAATACCCTATACCCACAACATTACTGCTTTTTCTTAAATTCCTCCTTTTGTCCATTTCTACTTCAATTTTCAGATTATTTCAAGTCTCAAATATATCAAACTTTTCTTTGTAAATGTCCTTAATATTTTTAGTTCTCTTTCATTTAAACTATCCTAATGATTGTAACAGTCACATTCCTAAATATGTTTAATTATACTACTAGACTCCTCAAAATTGTCCAATGATTTCCCATCGTATTTTGCTTCAAGGAACTAAATTCTAATCGTGTGATACTTTCCTACTTACTTATAAGACACATTGACTCCTTCTCCAAACCTCTTTCTCTCTTTTCCTCTCACATCAATTCTAAAAAATGTTACTAGTTTTACTGATCCTTTCTGTCAACTGTAAACATTTTTTCATTCTCTCAGGCTAAGATCAAATTTATCAACCATTATGAATTTCCAGATAAAAGGATGGAAATGAAATATCTCCACCTGTAAATGTATTCACAAAATACATATTCAGTGTTGACCAAATAGACTGTTTTCCTCAGAAAGGCTTCATTTCAGTCACTCTGTGACAGTTAATAAAAGTCTGTAGTGAACAAAGTTCTTTTATAACTCAGAAAGAAAGATAAACATTTAAGAAACATTTATGGAGTACTTTTGTGCTAGGCAACAGAAATAAGGCAGTGACTAAAATAAAAAAATCGCTGCCCTTAAGGAGTTTATGTTCTAGAGAGGCCAGAAGAGACAATGAACAAATACAAATGCTTG